TAAAGAATTTATCACCAAATTGATTCCTTGAAGTTTCTTAATAGCAATAGCACTTAGACTTATATACCGCTTCACAGCCCTCTCTAAGTGGTCTACAGAGTCAGCATATTGCCCTAACAATCTGGGGCCTCATTACTGACCTCAAAAGGATGGAAGGTTGAGTCAATCTTGAGCTGGTCAGGACTGAACTCCTGGCTGTGGGCAGAATCAGACGGCAATAATGCATTATAACCACTGTGCTACCACAGCTTAATATTGGGAAAGGGCAGTAGCATTCCACAGCAAACCATCATGTGAATTCTACCATTCCATATTTACAGCCTGATTTTTAATGCAAATATGTAATTCAAGGCATTTGACAGAAGAAAAAGGCAAAGTTTGTAATTTCATCCCCCCTAATGAAGTTAATTTATTAACTTGTAAAAAACAGATATTACATTAGCAAGTTCAGTAGCAATAAAAAGAGAATCACTTACAAGGATATTTGCTGATTTACTGTGCTGAATCCATTCCTTCATCTTATACATTTGAAAGAGGCAATATTGCATCAGATTCCTGCAAAATATGCTTGCAGCATGGCAAATTTATTTCACAACATTTATTGTTTCAATACAAATGATTGAGGAAGGAGATGCATAACCTTTTCTCTTGGACCCACAATGCCTAATTAAATTATTTTTTTCCTCTTGTTGATTTAATCAATCAGAATAGAGCTGGAGGTCTTCTAGTCCAGCCCCCTGCTCAAGCAGCAGACCCTATACAATTTGAGACAAGTGGCTGCCCATTCTCTTCTTAAAAGCCTTCAGTGATGAAGCGCCCACAACTTTTGAAGGCAAGCTGCTCCGTTGGTTAATTGTTCTCACTGCTAGGAAGTTTCTCCTTAATTCCAGGTTGCTTCTCTCCTTGATTGTTTCTTATGAGTCAGAGTCCTATAGATAGACCTATTTGTTAGTCTATCCATCCTGACCCTTTGTTAGATTAGCAGTGATAGGGGTTTTCACTAAAAGAAGAAAATGTTCAAAATTGCAGAATCTGAGTTCAGAACCAATTAAACAGCCCTGGAAGACTGTTACATAGCAATCAGGTAGAGATGGGTTTCTAGTCTCAATGGCTGAAAAATAATCTAGCGTGTTCAGCAATAATGTTATTTTTTGCAGACAAGCTTAGTTTGATCTGCTCTGCTGTTTGGATTAGCTCAATCCATCTGTTTACAATTCAACAACATTTGTGGAACTCACCACCTCATTGGATTTAGTTTATTTAGTTTCTTTCACTAATATCCATGTAGGTCACTTGAGGGACCTACATAGTTAGGGGATGTTATCCAGTATAGCCAAGGAAATTTCTAAAGCTTAATGAAGTATTTGGGGGACTTGTTTTGCCACTATGTGACATAGTTGATGTCTCTTTATGGAAAGGAACTTATGGTGCTAAAAAATCATAGACCCAAAACACATTCAATCATCATTTAAAATACTAGGAAGATAATGAAAGCCAGCTGTTATAATTACAGGCTAATAGGTGGATTTGAGCAAGATTATTGGATTCCGGCACAGGAAATTTACATTTCTACCAAACAGATAAGATATATAAACTTTCTTTTTTAAAAAAAAATCTAATTTCAGATTGTCTCTCCCATCTCTTTGTAAATCTGTATTTAATTCTGTTGGATTTCTAACTCTGTAATAGACACTCCCTGAAGAATTTTAAACATCTCTTGTGACTGTTAACTGAGTTACAGAAGACAGTATTCAGCAAGTCTTATTATTACAAGAAGATTTACGTAAAGCAACGTTGCAATGTTCCAAGCTCTTCAAGTACAAACTGGCAAATCACATTGTTGAATAAGAGATGATTACTGCCTTTTTGTTCTAGAGTGTAGTCTTCCCAGAAATATCTGGTCGGTCATTCCACCAAAAGGGCAATGAAAATTAAAATGAGATGGGCCTTTGGTTTGATCCAGCAATGCTGTTTCTACTCTTGAATCAAAACTGGAGAACATCTGTATCTATTAGAGTACCCCATTTTCTTCAGTTTTATTGCTTTATCGATAGGATGAGGGTGAGTCAGTTTTAACATCAAAGAGCAGAAATATGCTCTCTATGGCATATTCATTACACACACACACACACACACACACACACACACACACACACACACACAAGATTTTGGCAGTAAAGGGTGGATCTAGTATTAAGTTGCTCTATGAGGGAGAAAGGCAGTCTCTAAATATGATAGATGATAGATAGATAGATAGATGATAGATAGATAGATAGATAGATAGATAGATAGATAGATAGATAGATAGATAGATAGATAGATAGATAAACACATTAAGGTGGAGGTAAGAAAGGATGCAAGCTTTGTGAGAAGGCCACAAGAGGTAAAGTAACAGAAGAAGGAGGTTCCATTTCTATCACCTAATCCTCAAGAGATGCATCTCCTCCCTTATTTATTCATGAATAACACTAATGAATGAAAAATGACTAGCTTCCGTTTTTCAATTAAAGATGGTTTAGAACTGAGACATCATTGATAATTGCTTTCTGAGTAGAACCTACAACCAGAAAGTTGGCTTATTGACTGCTCCCATCAAGTCTTCCAGAATGTCCCATTTCATCTCTATTTCTTTTGATATTCTCTTCCTGTCCAATGAACATGCTTAGTCTTTCTTGGGTTAGGGCATTTTCAAATGGATTATGATAGCAAATTTCTGTGTTTTCAAAATCAAATAATGCACATGTAAGAATTGTGCTCTTTAGGCTATATAAGGAATATTATATGATTCTACCATGGTTATTATACAAGTATGCTTCTTTATTATTATGCGAGTATGCTTCTATTTTGTGTGGGTGTTCCTTCAAGTCAGATTGGACTTCTGGTAATTACACAGATATTTTCATGCATTTTTGAAAAGGATTTGTTATTGCCTTCCTCCTTGAGCTGGAAGGTAATGACTGGCCCAAAATCATCCAGTTGGTTTCTGTGCTTAAGGCAGGACCTAGAACTTAGGACTCCCCCAATCCAGCACCTTATCCACTAAACCAACTGGTTCTCTATATGAACTAGATTTAATAATATGTTGAAAGATTATGAATGCTATATGGAATGTTATAATTATTGCATCATTTTACCCTTGATTGTTAATTTTCATTAATAAAAATAATTTAAAATATGATGCACATACAAGGTACTAAGCAATACTCTGTTAATCAGTCTCTGCTGGAGCCCTGTCCTCTTCCAAAATATTCTATGTACTACCCTTAACACTCATTTAGCTTTCTATGGCCACTGGGCATATTCCGTATTCACTGCGCTTCTGCTTTCTTAAACTATGTTCAGATATGGTTCCACCAATCTTGGGAATATCTCACACTTGCTGTTTTCCTTTCTTGCACGTGCTGCCATTCTGACTAAAAGAATGCTGTGCTTGGAAAACTAAACTTTATACTAGTATATAGAATGAAACATCTTCTCATTTTCTAAAGTTGGTTTTACCTTGACACAAGATCTGAGACCTTGAGTAATGCTAAGATATGTAAAGGGCGAGGCAAGATCTTCTTTGGTGAGAAAGCTACAAAGGAAAAAAAGTATTTACACAGGATGTGATATTCAGTTTGGATTCCTTCATTTGCAATATACTGTTTCAAGAGGCTATTTTGTGAACATTTATCAATCAAATATTTATTACGGTCATAGACCAGCATTAATGTGAACACTTTATGGGGTAGATATAGCTGCTTGCAAGGAACCTTTCAAGGAATGATCTGGTTCTATGTTCATAAGCCCTCTGCTGCCATCTTCTGGTTCCTGCATCCCATAATACATAAAAGACTACTATGTTTACTTTAAATGTGGGACAGCAAAGTGTGTTTTTAATCATCATGATGATCATCATCATGATCATCATCATCATGATCATCATCATCATGATCATCATCATCATCATCATCATCGATCAAAGCACAAGTTAAACCAGTCTATCTAAAAGAAATCAAAGCCAACCATCCTACACATTTTAGGGAGCACTGTATGGCACCACAAGCACACATATATGTTAATACGAAACAAATACAAACCCAGCTTAATGAAAATAGAGTAAAATAGCCAGGACTTGCATTAACCCACTAGTCAAATGAAAAGGTCTTGAAAGCATCAAACTTTTGCAGGGGTGATGAAGGAAAGGAAGGAGATGATTCCAAAGTTTGAAACCGGGAGCCTCCTGGAATGAGAAGCAAGAAGAAATAAATACTGGGAAGATTGTGATTCTGAACATAAAGACCAGTGGCTTGAAATGGGTTCTTGCTAGAATCGGAAGCCAATGAATAACACTGTAATATATAAGAAACATGGTAATTGTGTAAAGCAGGGGTCTTCAAACTTGGCCCTTTTATGACTTGTGGACTTCAACTCCCAGAATTCCTCTGGTGTAAAGGATCAAGAACAGCCCAAATGAGACTGTTCTGAACAAGGATTAAGAGGATGGAGAGAAGAACTGGAATACCCATCAGGGGAATTTTTTAGTAATCTAAGCACGAAATAAACAAAGCAAATTGTAGTCTCTCTTATTAAGGCAATGGAAAATTGTGACCATCCCTCCAACATCAATAAATGAAAGCAAAGTTAGCCGATCATCAGCAAAGGCCCTGAGATTATGGGTGGTAGAAATAGGGATAATCTAGGAATCCTGGAGACAAATGAAGGGGTGGGTGGAGTGGGATAATAAAAATGATTAAGCAAAACCAAGCAACCTAAGAGACTAAACCCTATCAAGAATGGTTAAACAAACTGGAATGTTCATCCTAAAGAAGAGAAGTCTAAGGAGAGGCATGATAGCAGTCTTCCAACACTTGAAATTGCTGTCACACGAAAGAGGGTGTCAATTTATTCTCTATAGCACCTGAAAGTAGGACCAAAGAAGCTTTACAAAGATAAGATATAAATTGAAATAAGGAGGAATTTTCAGACCAGGATAATCAGTATATTGTGGAATAGCCTGTCTCCTGGAGTCATGGGGGCTCCATCACTGAAGGTTTTCAAGCAAAGCTTGAGAATTCCTACCCAAGACAGGTGGTTGGATTGGAAGGTCTTCAAGGTCTCTTCCAACTCTCAGGTTTTATGATAAGAAGAACTATGAGTAAGGAATGAACATTGTATGTTGAAAGCCTGATAGGACTGTGTAAGTTTACAAAATACATTCTCAAAAGTTTCAAATTGTATCCACTGGCACCAAAGAAGGAGATCCTGATCCAGTTGATCCAGAAATTTAAATTGCTCAAATACCTTTTATTTTAAATGTAAATCACACTGCTTTTCTTTCACAAGTGAAAGATTTGTGTATACATCTCAAGTGAAAATGTTTAGATTAATATTTGGGGCTAGCTTTATTCTGAATCTCAGAACTGTTGGAACTAAGATTTAGTTTAGGCCTGGGCAGATGTAGATTAGCTGGGCAACAGGCATAACTGCATGTAGCCCAGAAGTCATGCACCATTTCAGACAAACAAGTGTTTTGTTGAATGTTTATCAGTCTTCACAGATGCCGTTTCCTAAGGGAAAGTCATTTGTCCTACATGCGATTCATGCTGTCTAGCATAATTCTTGAAATAGAATAGAATGGAATAGAATAGAGCTGGAAAGGACCTTGGAGGTCTTCTAATCCAGCTCCCTGCTCAAGCAGGAGGACCTATACCATTTCAGACAGGTGGCTGTCCAGTCTCTGCTTAAAAACCTCCAGTGATGGAGCACCCATGATTTCTGAAGGCAAACTGTTCCACTGGTTAATTGTCCTCACTGTTAGGAAGTTTCTCCTTAATTCCAGGTTGTTTCTCTCTTTGATCAGTTTCAACCATTGTTTCTTGTCTTGCCCTTTGGTGCTTTGGAGAATACTTTGAGCCCCTTTTCTTTGTGGCAGCCTCTCAAATAATGGAATACTGCTATCATGTCACCCCTATTTCTTCTTTTCTTTAGACTAGCCAAACCCAAGGCTTGCAGCCGTTCTTCATATGTTTGATCATCTTAGTTGCTCTTCTCTGAACTTTTTCCAAGGTCTCAACATCTTTTTTATAGTATGGTGACCAAAATTGATTGCAATATTCCAGGTGTGGTCTTAATAGGGTTTTATAAAGCGGTACTAATACTTCATGTGATCTTGATTCTATGCCTCTAGTTTATACAACCCAGGATTGTATTAGCTTTTTTGGCTGCTGCTGCACACTGCTGACTAGTCAAGTGATCGTCCACTAGAACTCCAAGGTCCCTCTCACAGTTGCTGTTTTTGAACCAGAGCTCGCCTAATCTGTACTTAAACCTTTGATTTTTCCTGCCTAAACGTAAAACTGCTTTTCTCCACATTAAAACTCATTTTGTTGGATAGGGCCCATTGTTCAAGTTGGTCAAGATCTTTTTGGATCCTGAGCTTATCTTCTGGAGTATTGGCTATTCCTGCCAGTTTGGTGTCATCTGCAAATTTGATGAGTTCCCCTTCTGTTCCCTCATCTAAGTTATTAATGAAGATATTGAAGAATACTGGGCCTAAGACGGAGCCTTGTGGTACCCCACTGCATACTTCTCTCCATGTGGATGTGGTGCCATTAAGGACTACTCATTGAATACAGTTTGTCAGCCAGCTACAGATCCATCTGATAGTGTTGTTGTCTATCCCACTTTTTTCTAGCTTATTAAGCAGCAGGTTGTGGTCTACTTTGTCAAATGCCTTACTGAAGTCTAGGTATACTACGTCCACAGCATTTTGCTGGTCCACTAATTTAGTCACTTTATCAAAGAATGAGATAAGATTGGTTTGGCATGATCTGTTTTTGACAAACCCATGCTAGCTACTGATTATAACTTTGTTTGCTTCTAGTTGTTCGCAGATCTGTTTTTTGTTTAACTTTACCAAGATCTTCCAAGATCTTATCAAAGAGGGACTGATGATCTTCCACCATTTGATTATAGACCACCAGTTTCATGCTTGTTGGATTGATCACTGCCACTTATGAACTAATAATCTCTTGCCCATGGAATAGGGGCCATCAATTTCCTGACCAATTTACTCCTGACAAATGCCTAGACAGCCCTCTACAGTTTTCTTGACAAGATTTCAGAAGTGGTTTGCCATTGCCTCCTTTCTAGGACTGAGGGAGAAGAATTGGCCTAAGGTCACCCAGCTGGCTTTGAGCCTAAGTTGGGATTACAATTCACAATCTCTTGCTTTCTGGCTTGATGCCTCAACCACTACACCAAAACTGGCTCTCAAACTGGTGTACATTTACAAAATTCAGCATGCTAATCCAAGATATGGAACAGATAAGGAAAAAAAAGAAAGCAGCTCTTCCCTAAACCAATAAAAAATTGTTGCTTGATTCTCATCAACTTTTACCAATTATTAGTACTTTATTGATCTCTGCAGGGTAGAGTTGGGTGAAGAAAGAGTGCTGAATAAGAAGGAAACCAATGGATTGACTGAACCCCAAGAAGCCAAGAATCTATTCTACATTTCTTTTAAATTCATCTCCCCTTCAAACATTTAGGACAGTGATGTCCAACCTTGGCAATTCCCAGAATTTCCCAGCCAGCATTTAAGTCCACAGGTCTTAAAGTTGCCAAGGTTGGATACACCTGCTTCTTAGAATGTTGCATCATTTTCTTACTTCAACCTGTCCTTGCCATTGTTTTTTTTAACCACAATTGTCTCTGTGTAGGAAGGTCTGATATTATTTCCTTGACTTCTATTTCAGTATTATCCACCCGCATACATATATAACCACAGTTAGCATTTTGGTTCTGCTTCTTGTCTGTCTTGCCAGTGTATGGTGAGACTGCTTTAACTATTCTGTTTTAGTAGTGTAAATCTCAACCTTCTGTTTCTTCTTTCTTTTGACAACTCAATCACTGATACCGGCTTTTCCTGTAGAGCCTTAAAAAATGTATGGAAGACAGGAAAGCAAGTAAAAGAAGGCCTGAACCAGTTTTGGGGAGTTAAGTCAAAACAAAAATCAGCATTTGTGACATGGCTTCTTTAATTGTATTTATCACAAGAAGCAGAGAGAGATAATGAGTGGAAAACAGAGAGGGAAAGTGCTTAGTATTTACCAAATAACCAACCAATTTACCAAATAACCAAGCAAAAGTCTTGATGTTCACAGGAAAAAAATTACACATACAAGTCCTAGACTGGTGTGTCATCTAAAGTTGCTTCAAGCTGACTTAGAGAAGACAGATTAGATCTTTGGATTCCATTGCTTCCACTGATGGAGGATTCTGTTCTAGGCAGATCTTCTCCCCACTTTTGGAGGATATAAGCTTCCACTGCAGCACTCACCTGGGGCACATCTAAATGTTCATTGAAACCATAGCTGATGTTTTTCTGAAGCCTTACAAGAGCTGAAAGAAGGAACAGGTAAATGATATCAGTGAAACAGATCTTCAACAATGTTAGAAATAAAGCAAATATTTGTTCTATTTTAAGTTGACATTTCAAAACCCCTCCATCATGATCTTGAAAACAAACATTGAACATTTAAGGCTGAAAGATTTTATGGCCAGAAGCTTCCTCTTGGCTTCATGAAAACTTACACATTTATTTTATTTACACAGACATTTACATATACATCAGCAGTGTTTAGCAGTAGCGCTTAGACTTACATACTTATTCATAGTGCTTTACAGCACTGTCTAAAAGGTTGACACAGTCAGCATATTTTCCCCAACAAACTGGGTCCTCATTTTACCCTCGAAGGATGGAAGACTGAGTCAATTTTGAGCTCCTCAGGATTGAACTCTGGGCAGTGTGCAGAGTTAGCTTGCAATATTGCATTCTAATCACTGCACCACAGCTCTTATACATATACAGACTCATTTTAGGCAGTTAGGCAAAAGCTTATTACTTATATCAGTAATAAGAAGGGATCCCAGAAAATATTTGCTCAGGCTTAAAAGAACAACCACATTATTTATAGTATGTCTTTTTAATCTCTAACTGAGGATAAAAGAGGGTTATTTATTTGTGGTCTCATCTTCCCTTTATTGTGCAACAACACCTCAGTGAAATGAATTAATATAAGTGATAACAAATGACCCCAACCTATGCAATCTGAATCAAATTTTCAAATCAAATTTTCTAGAAAATATTTTGCTGGGGACTGAATATTAGTAATGACTAAACTTAAGTGGGCAAAAGAGAGCCAAAAGTGAGTGAGAATACCCTTCCTCTGCTTTTCATGCATTTCTTTCTTTCTTTCTTTCTTTCTTTCTTTCTTTCTTTCTTTCTTTCTTTCTATCTACCTACCTACCTACCTACCTATCTATCTATCTATCTATCTTTCTTTTTAATCTCACTTTTCCCTCAGTTGTGAGAACTCCACAAAATTACAGTGATCCCTGCTCTAAAATATTGATTGTACCATTTTGCTACTCAAAGATCAGAGATCACGGTTAAATGGGCAAAATTTTCTTGAACAGATCTAATGCTGCTCTTCTTGGAAACTGTAAATTCAGATGTATATTTATTAATTTGTTTAGTCAAAGATAGATTTATTTATTTATATTGCTTACAAGTCAACAGAACTTGCTTAATAGGCTCATCCAGGTCTGCTACTTGCATGCATTCCAGAATGATTTCTGAAGGGAAGGAAAAAGGGAAGGGAAGGAAAATTTGAATGCATTTCAATCTTTTCAAACATGTAAGAAGTACTATGGTAAGGACCATCATGCCACCAATCTCTGGGACACTTCCCCCCCCTTTATTTAACCATAAATCCTGCATGCAAGAATTCTTGAAATAAGCATATAGCATTTATTTTTAAAATATGGTCCCCTAAAAATTCTCACATTGTGACACATCTCATTTTTTCACTCCATTTCTCCTTCTACTGATTTTATGAACTTTGCTAAAGATCTCACTAGGTCTTGTCTCTTACCTGTTAATTCAAGAGCTCTAATCTGGATCTCTTCCCACTTGCTTTGGAAATAGATCGTTGTCTTTTTCAACAGTTCTCTCCTCATTTCTGGGTTGGTATTTTCAACCTTTTTATCAAGAATAATATTGCATTTTATTTATTGCAGCAAGCGAGGCCAAAAGCTGAAACATGAAGTCTTTCTTTACTGAAGCCATGGTTAGACATATCTCACTGTAGTTTTATCATATTTTTCCTAGTTATGTTATTCCTGTAACTTTTTATAACTATATTCTATAAAACACATTTTTTAAAAAAGAGATTTTATACTACTAAATATCTATCTCTTTAAAATTATACATATTATATAATTGTATTTGTTTATTTATCTATCACATTTGTACACTGTCCATCTCATCTAAGTGATTCTGGATGGTTTACAATAATATAATATATAAACTTATATTACCTGATAGGATCTGATATAGAACAATCTAACCTAAAGCTAACCCTAACTGCTGTATTCTCAAAGGACTTTTCATTTATCAGATAGCAATAATCAGACTTTCCCCATTTTCTTATTAAAAAGCTTGGGGTGACGTATACCTTACCATGGAACAGATTGTCCCATTCTAGATTACTGTATTTGCAGTCCTGGCCAATCCACTTAAATGAAAACTTTATTGCTCTCTGTGGCAATAAGATTAAAATAAAAAGTGTCATCTCAACAAGTACAGATTACAGTTATGCAAAGATTTATTTATTTTGGGGATTTGATCTGAACATGATCTGACTGAATCTCCAAATTAGATGCAAAATTAATTTTGGACAATTTTGAATGCTTTTGTGATAGTCAAAAGCATTTTTTGCTCCAGTCAATTTTGAAAATCAAATCAACAGCCCACAAGATACTTGTATCTCCCTGTAGTCTTCTCTGCTTCAGGTTAAAGATAGCTAACACCTCCAACTAACATTTTGGTTGATGCAATCTGGGATTGAACTTGTAACTACTCTACATCACATTCTTGGTTCATGTTCAGATAGTGATTCCTTAGACATAACCTTTTGAATATCTACTGCTAACAAGTATGATCCCCCCATTCCCTACTCAAGCTGTTGATTTTTCCTGTCAAAATGGAAGAGCTAGCATTTGCCCTGTTGAGTTCATTTTGCAAGTATTTGTTTCTGCTCACTGTTCCAGCTAATTAAGATCTACTGAATCTTGACACTGAGACTCTATGGTGTTTGGTATCCTCCATCCTTTGGGTCATTTCTCAATTTGAAATACGTATCTATCCAATAAAAATGTACATTGAACCTATGAGAAAAATGTAACACATTTGTTTTGCTTCTTATTTTCCTATCCTCTCATGAAAAAAATCAGATTTCCAAAGTCACTATGGAGATGCTGACAGAGACTAAATGAGGCCCTGTTTGGGTTGGTCTATTCAGAACTGGCAAATGTTTCTTTTCCTCCTCAGTGGATAAAGTGAGGCAATATTTTGCAATTCCTCGGAAAGGTGGCATGGGTTTGGAAACAAAGGGACTGCTTTAGATACAGATTTGCTGAATGACCATAGCAACTTCAATATCCTCCTAAAATTATCCTGTATTTTACAGTATGCTAATTCAAGGATGTCTCTCTCTTACCAGCTGCCTGCATACATGAGCATGTAGATTTGGAAGAGTTAAATTAGTGGTATGGTAAAGTTCTTCAATATAGATTCTTAGTTTCCTTCTCACTAAAAACGTCATGCATTGCAGAAAAGCAGTCCTGCATGCCTGAAAAAGACAGTGGTATTCTTATACAAATCATGCGTAATAGTAGCAAGCATTTTAAATTATGAATAACTCGTTATTTATTCACTTGTCAAACTTGATATAACCCATCTTACTCTCTGAGTGACTTTTATCTTTATCCAACTCACTACTTCTTCTCAATCTAGGCCAAAAGTTTCAGAATATGTTCTCCAAAATCAGAAAAGACTGAGTGGTGCTAGCTTTTTTTTGGGGGGGGGGGAACTGAAAAATTCCAAGACTACCTTCTTTTTAGCCTAAATACTTTCAAGCCTTCATGAAGGTTCACAGTTTAATTACTGTGTTCATACAGCTAAACAAACCATAATTTGCTTAACCATGATTTACTGATAAACTAAAGCTGAATTGCACAACAAGGTGAGCCATAAAATACCAGTTGCAAGGGAGCAATAAGGAGATGGGGTTATATTGCTGCTTGTGTGCCCTGTGGGAGCAGGTGGTTGAGCACAACACAATCAAAATGCAGGACTAAAATGGGTCGTGGACTGAATTAGCAGGATATTGCTATGATTGACAAGTGTAAGAAGTAGGACTGGAACTGAGCCATACTGAGGTGAGTTATAATCAAAGTCTATGCAGTCTTCAATGAGATAACAAACTTTTTAGTCATTTTAATATTCAAGGATTATCAAATACAAAATTTACTCTGGAACTTACCTCAGATACTCTGGGATTGGGGTCACGCTGGTGTATTAGAAGGGACACCAAATTACTTCTGGCTTGGATAGTAAAAAATCTTTTGTATCTAAACTTTGTCCAAGCAGCCAGGATGCCAAAGAGACATAGTGCAGCCTCACGAAGGTCAGCATTGTCCTATAGCCAGAAAAAAACCCACCATATTTTTCCATAAGCTTAGACTTCCTGGTTTGTAATATTGCTGCAAAAAATACATCGGGCTTAGGCTGAAAACCATATGGAGGTTCACATATCAACCCTGAAAAATCTTAGTTAAACTGTGGTATTTGTTACCATAGTAACAGCTGATGACAGATGGCTTCAAATGGGAATTAGATCCATTCATGAAGGGTAAAACTATCAATCGCGCAATTATGGAATTTTATTTTGAATTTAGCAGTCCTAATAGCCTCCCCCTTAATGATAACGAACTTTCTTTTGTGTACATCAATGTGTAGGAAAACAGTTTGTTGTGCAGAGGGATGGAACATTAACTAAGCTAAGTAGGGCCTTAGATATTTGCTCCCAAATCCTACTCAGATGGCCCTGCTGTTTGGACTTTATCCGATGTATGCTGAGCAATTTGTGAGAAACAATTTTCAGTATCTTTTAAGCCTGTTATTTGTTAAGAGTGAAGAAACAACCTCCTTAGGACCATACCACACTGGGTATAGGCCTTGACCCTCTCAGCAGTTCCTAAACAGGGAAGTCTATCCTTTGCTTACATCTGCCAGGTATGAGGTGGTCTTCAGAGAGATGTCTTTAAATAGGAAACCCACATCTTTCCCCTTCAGGTGTGGAAAAATCAGAGCAAGCAACCTGAGACTCTCCAGAACCAACTTTTCATCATACAAAGCTCCAATCAGGACAGCTACAATGGTCCTCTTCTGTCCTTTCACCTGTAAGGACATAGGTTAAGAAGGCAATTGTGAGTATGCCTGTAGAAAAAGATTTTATAGCACATTTATGGGATCTGTCAAGGCATATACTATGATCAGGTGGATATTGTACATCATACTAAACCATGATTTGTTTAAATAGTTTGTTGAATAACTACAGTTGCTTGAGTTCATTGTTCCAAACTGATTTCCAAATCATAATTGTTGGATTTAAACCACATGCTTAAGTCATCAGCTTTGCAATCTATGTGGTATGAACCCTTTCCATGTGCAGGCAACAACATTGAATGAACACCTTCCATGCCCATTTTTCCTAGCCAACAGTCCAGTGTCTGATTCTAGATCTACTTCACTGAAGGGGCAAGAGTGTGTCTGCCTTCAACATATTTCACACATTTTCTGCAACCTCAACAAGCAAGAACTGACCTTGTCAGGAGCCACAAGGAGAAGGTTCCCAAGACCACGGATTGCCATCTGACGGATCCCAGGATCCCAGTCTCCTGCTCTTAGCATCATGATTGGGAGGAGAGATTTTAGCTGCAGTTTCTCTACCAAAATGGGATCTTGAATCACCTACAGTAAGTCAATGTATTTCATATTATGCTCCAACATCATGTTATTTCATTTTTTTCCTGTTCATCTATCCATGTGCCAATTAAAGTAACTAACAGGCTAGGATAAAATATAAATAAGATAAAACTGATAAAACCCACTACTCCAATATTATTAATAGTGCAATTTTACATTTGTATGAAGAGGAAAGTCTGAACTCCTTATCAAAAAACAGAATATATAAGGGCGGAACACAAATCAAGACCTAATACATGCCATCAAGTTTTGGTCAGTTTCCTGCTGAATTTTGGTCAGTTTCCTGCTAAAGTTTGGAAGAGTTGAGGTCTTTGGATGGGAAAATCATAGGGCTGGAATGGATCTTGAAGGTCTTCTAGTC